ATTACTCCGTTCGTTTTGTCCGTTATCTGTACGAGTAAAGGTTTTGACGAGTGTGTACTAGTTTTTTGATCGAGCATTTTTTCCGTTAGCCGTCGCAAAACGATGATATGGGCGTGATGGTCGAGGAGATAATGCAAATATTCCATCCCCGAGCAAGTTTTTTTATTATGTCCGGGGCGTGACGCCACGACCGTTACACATGTAGTAAAGGGATGCTCTTCAATTTCCGTTTTTCACGAACAGTATTTACACATAGATATATGCGACTAATCCTATCAACGTATTGTATTTCTGTTAATATATTATAATAGCTGTTATAATTATTATTGTTATTGCGTACAGTGTACCTTCAAAGTTTACACACAGGACGTTGAATAATTAAAATAATATGCTCATCGTCTACCGATTATATCACGAGTCGCTCCCGAGGGAGTGAGTTTGTTCGACAAACAGAACAAAAAAAAAAAAAAGTTAACCCGAGAAAAACCCAAGATAAAATAAATTCTGGAATATTTTAAACACACTTTCAACGCACGTTCCCATACAGATGTGTAATCCACACGCACAACAGAAGATTCAGCCGTAGTGTCTTGTACATCTGCACGTGTGTGTTGGCCTTATGTTCGACGCAAGCAACCGCAATTTCCGCTTTTCGACCGCAGATTTTCGTCGGTCCGTTAAGTCGAGCTCGCGTTCTTATTCGCCCGTATTAAACCTAATAAACAAATGACCGTGAATTACGCCGCTGCCGGTTAAAGTTAGCTAGTTCGCACTATTATATTCTAATAAAGCGTTGGCGAAAATCAGGAGATAGAATTTTTGATAATCGTACTGTTGTTCGTGGCCGGCCAATTTAATTCGATTAAATAACCTGTTATTAATTAATCCTCTGCACGAGCAATCTTAGTCAACGTTATCGGACAGATGTTTACGACTCGGTTAAAATTCGATACGGACTTGAATTTAATTATTACTCGTTTCTGTGTCGTTATGACCGAACCGGCTGGAAATTCGACACAAAAATAACATTAATATTCGAATGAGTCATTCTTTAATATTGCACGCTTCGTGTTCGTCAACGAAAAGTGTTTGACTGCGTACACACCGGTAGGCCTGGATTGATAAAAACTCCATTAAGTCCGTTGGGCATCACTGGGCTGCCCGGATGTTTTTAGGGGACACGCCGAGTCGTGTAGAAATGATGTTCTGTTGTGTTGTTTTTATTTTCATGCACTCGACCTGCAATTACCGTTTTGTATTTTTTTTTCCGTTTAAAATATTCACCGCTTGTAAATTGTATACACATAGTATCAGTGCACCGCTAGGTTATCTTTACTGCGCCAGTTCTCGGGGCCCCAGTAATATTACGAGTCCTTAAAAGGAAAAGATATATTTGTATTATTGTCATTAAACCTGCGAAACAGTTTGCAAAACGAGGTCGCGCATTACACGAAATATAACACTGAAAAAACATGGAAACTTTTGGCCACATTTCTCATATACACGTGTACGCGGATTGATCTGAAAAGGTCAGCGCCACAAGCTAATATTTTTCTCAGCAAGTTCAAACCCTAGTAAGTGAGCCGTGACAGTTTTGACTGCCGCGTTCCATTAAATTTGCTGGTTCGACTCGGTGTAGATATAATTACAATAAATTTATACGATAATTCGATTGTATTGTAATGTAAACGTAACCGATGTGTCACAAATACTTATAAAAAACTCGGCGGTTCTTTTTTTACAACAATTATTGAAAAAATCAAACATTATATTTGTCAAATACGCTAAAACCTACGATTATAAATATAAAATTATATAACGTTGAACATTGTGATTATCGCTTATTTGACATTTGTGGGCCTGCTCACACGGTCTGTATAATTACACTACTAATTAAATTCAAAACGCAATGTGCGAATATTGTGCGATTCATCGTTTTGACTATAATGTGTAAATTTTGTGTGGACATTTTAATATAAACATGTTGTTATTGAATAATTGGATTTTCGATAATAATAGTAGAAATCAGAAGAGTTGTTTACGTTGATAAATTTTTAAAGGCCGCACAATAGAGCTGATTAAGGGTGACGCTCAATCGAAAGTAAAATGTAAAAATGTCGGTCCAAAAGTTATTGGACACTATTTGGAAGTGGTTTGCACAATGCAGTTTGCTCAAATATTCATTTGATGGAGCGCTTGGTCGGTCACACGGAACGAAAATATTGTTATAGGTCGGTCAACACAAGAAAATTTAATAATTACTCGTTGTGTACAATTATGGTAGGTATTTTGTATAGACAGGGCATCCTAAAACCGATTAAAATTATAAAATAGTTAATTACGATTATTCGAATGTCACAACGACTATGATATATGGAAATATGCCATGAACATTTAATATGTAATAGATATACGTGTAGGTGATAGTTATAAGTGATGCGGAGATGCATCGATCGTTTACATAATAGCATCGTTAACGAATTGATATATTCAAAGAATTTGTGTAATAATCAAGATCGTTTAGTTATTTGTATAAAATATATTTTGATTTATTCAAAATAAAATCATTGTAAAACAACATTTTTTCAAACAGGAATATCACTAAGAATAATATAACCGTGAAGTAGTCGCTACCAATAGTAAGTCTGATGTGTTAGATAATTTTGTAAATATGTACTTTTTCTGTTTGTGGGCCTCATGGACCTGTCCTATATTTTTTAACTGGGTTTGTGTACACTATTTATGATTTAGAAGATTTCGCGATTTTTTCCCTTTTAACATTGTTATTTTATTCAAGACCACCGCCATCGCTTTTTAACTAAACACCACTGTTTGCCTTTGGAGTCACTTCTGCCCCGCGAAAATGCGTTGGTGGTGCGAAAACCATTTGCCGTGTACCCATTTAGAATCTAACCGAAATAGCAGTTTTAAACGAGATGATAAATATTGAATCATGAAGACGTTACTCACCGAAATCACAGACTGCACACAACATTATCGCTGATGGAATTCAAAACATTGTTTTATTCAAATGTTTTTAATCCGACGATAAATTTATGATTGAACAGTAATTAGATGAAAAAACAACTCGAAACGCGTAAACGGTAGCTGAGACGGCGCGTAGGTGAGTCAACAACACGCGGGCAACGCGGTGTATTCACACAACACATAATAATACTCAACTGTTCGTTAGACTGACACGAATAAGAAAAAAAAACACAACATTAAAATGGGATGGGTTGCCATAGGAGTGGAGCGGCCTATGTGGTTGACTGGTTCGGCCGTCTATACTGTAACACGCACAACCCACTCTAGTGGTTTTATTTCTAGTTCGCTTTTTACAGATATACTCACACATACGTCTTAGGTGTTAAATTCTTTATTTTATTACGTTTTTTATGTGATGAATTGGTCATTAAAAATCTCGTTTTATCATCCGACTACTTGAACATATAATTATTTGTCTTTTAAAACTGATTAAATTGTCAATTATTAAAAAACTATTAAAACAACTAGCCTGATAATTATCATTTATATTAAATTATTTTTACTTTTATCTGAACACATTGTCAACTGATTAAGTGAACAATTATTATTTGTTAATTGTTGTAATTTGACAGCTGCCGGGGAAATATGTTTGAACTGGCCTAATAATAGATGATTACATTTTGTTTAATTTTAGACGAATTAAGTTTCATTATAATAATTTTGCCATCAACCCTTTCAATTGATTACAACGTGATCAATTATTTATAACTTATTAATAATTAAGTGATCACGTGTTAGTTATTATGAACAGAACGCGTTTGTATTAATTATATTACAATATCGTGTTAGTATAAACATTGAAACGTTTAAAAAAATCTTTCTGAAGTTTTAAAGTTGAACGAACCAATATTTGGTTACACTTGTTAGACATTTAAACGTCACAACAACACAATAGCTTAACTAATCAATAAATCATATTGCCTGGATCGTTTTGGTTCGTGTAATATGTTGTAATGGCTTTCAATTGTGCTCTCCATACTCGTGTCAAAGCCGTAAGAAGTCGCGGACTGCGCTTTCCACGACAAATACGTCGACACATTTTATTGTAATACGTGTTATGTACAAAGGATACATTAATAACAATAATAATAATTCATACAAATAAATACGCACCTCTAGCGTTCGACTCACGTACGGGGTTTCGTTTGAAAGGTTAAAAGCTCATTCGCTTTGCCGGTGTTCTGGTCCGAGTATTGTTATTTGCGGGAAATACAGTAAAGCATTATACGTCTTTGGGATAGCGGTAAAGAACCACGACGAAAAAAGGGATTTCTATAGTTATTTGGAGCGTTTACGATCGCGACAAACGTGATGTTTCTGCACTTTTGACGACATCGGGTAAAATAAGATAAAAAAAAAAGGCATACGCAATCGAGGAGCTAAATATGTTTTAAGGGCCGTATTTAAAAACATTTATATTTCGTGAAATATAGTTGTTTTATGAGCATACAGGCGCATAAATAAACTATATACACTTTAATATCACGTAATGTTTTTGGCGCTATTGTTAAATGGCTCGTACCGTAAGTTTACATTCATACACCACGTGTCACGTCATACGGAAAGAGTGTAAAAATAAAAAAGGCCGCTCGATGATTCCCTTCGGCGAGCTTTATTTGTATTTTATTATTGATATTACTATTGTTGCTACTGGTATGACTTGGCGTATACCTCACACAGAGCCGCACACTGTGTTGTTAGTTTGTTTTAATAATCCTTGATTTATTACAGCGACAAAAGAACTTTGCCGGCGCCGCCCAATTACCGGTCGCCCACCTTTTGGGCTGCTTTTGTGTTCTCGGTACCAAACCAGAATTTACGCGCAACGTAACGTTGAATGAGCAAGTTTATCTAAATATTCAGATATTCGAATCTGAACGCGCAAATTCTAATATCCCGCGGTGATGAGTAAACAATAAGAAAACGACGTTATAGTCGAATGTTCAACTTACTGTTTTGTGTGTCGTACAAGTCAGTGTGATACGACTTCTCTGCAAATCTGAGCTGCTCTGCCCGCATACTGTTTCTGATGGCCGTCATCCTCAGAAGTCTAGGTGCTGAAATGTCCGGGATAACATCTTCGTTGCGTATCGAGTTCCGACTTCGAAACAGAACCATTTTGAAACGCTTATGAACAAACACACAAAATTTGTATAAATCATTCATTACAGAAAACACAATGCAACGTTATTGTTGTCATTACGCGTTTTAATTCACCGTCTACTAGAAGCCTAGACAAGATAGACTCCACACCTAGTTCAAAGTATACATTTTTGGGCGTTTATGGTTTTAAAACTGACAGATCATTTTAACTTAAAATATCGCGAAGACTGATGATATTTTAAAATTTAGTTTATTTTATTTCAACAAACTATCAAAACCATTTTAACAAGTTGGTTATTAATTGTTTGTTATTGTCAATCTAACTTAAGGCGTACGTATATTTAACACTGTCCCGTAGTTTATTCACCCATACGATTTACAGACCTTGATAACTCTGCAAAAACCATGTAGGTGCTTAAGATGACCACGCAACATTTAAATATTCCATTTCGTTTGCAATTATATTTTATTTAACCAATTTATATCTCCGCGCTATCATCAAAACGAATCGCTAAGTTTAGATGTTTTATAGTAACGTTTTTTCTGATCTAAAAGATAGTGTAATGAAATTAATCCGTTAATTAAGAAGCCAGGAAATAAAAAGAAATATACGTATATGAGCCAACACATATTTTTTTGGGGTTCAGACCACTGCTAGTTTTTTGTGTCAATAAAACGGTTGCATAATGACACACATGTTATAACTGCATCTGGCTCAGGTTTTGAGTATTTAAAGATATTAAGAATTATATTTAAAAAATGTTGACTTATAAGTTCACTAAACCAGCGACATAACTTTAACATGTAATAGACCATTTACTTTAAAAAAAATATAGCGTAATAAGTTGAATACGGTCAAATCGTTATTATATTTAATTATACATTATTTAACTTATATAATTTCCTCGACGTTATTGGGTGACGTGCTAAGGATAACAACATGAAAGTCGCTGATGTGATTGACGCCGATGGGATACTGAAAAATTCATTGTATAATTATTGTATAATTAAATAACCATGAGAACGGGTTTATTAAAAAATAAATAAAACATATATCTACCACAAATGACCTTATAATTCCTAAAATCTTATCACAATTAAAAAACGTGTTTCTTTCCAAAAATCGAAGACAATTTCAACGGACGAATAATTTAATAACTCAATAATTTGCATCTGTTTGTCAAACTTGAACTTTGTTTATTTTGAAATAAGTGGCTCAATGTTAATAAGTACGAGCCGTTATGTTTGTATAATTAGAATAGGGCGCCTTGAACTATGTCCAACTAATTAAACACGGGGATGATTCCCGGTAAAACAATTCACAATGCGACATTATGTTAATTTGATTTGTGAATGTGCGTTCAAGTTGTATTAAATTATCGATAATATTAAATTCTTAATTTAATCCTATTTGTATACGAGTTTTTATTTAAAAAAAGTGATACAGTAGTGGGTCGTGTAACGCTAAATTATTCATATCGAGATCACTTTATCATGTCATCAACTAAGTACTATGACAACTATTATGAGCTAGTTGGTTGTAGGGAGTTGACACATGGGCGATTATTGTAGAACTATAATCTAATAAATTTTTACTTGCATAGATTACACTATCTAATCGCCTGCAGTATATGAACTAATATAATCCTTTAACATCTGTCACAGTGTCACAAAAAAACGCCTCATTAAGCCGATCGGCGTATTTACATTTAAGTATTGTAAATGATCCGACAGTGAAAAAAAGTGATAAAAATGTGGTAGAAAAAAAAATGACGTGTCACTTAAGACAAGGTCGGAAAATTCGAGCTTACCTGGACTTTTACGGTAAAGGCGCACACGTTGCAGCTCCGGGTGGCCGTTGCAGTGGTTTTCGGGTGGTCGCATAAAGTCGTCAAACCGATGGTCACTCGCGATAACCGGATCGATAAAACGGCTTTCAGATTTTAATATATTATTCTAATTCGTCTGCCCCCCCAAGTCGTACTCAAACAGAAAACCATAATATTGTTATTATCGATGTTCTTTTGTGCTGACCGTCAACGCCGTCGTACAGTCGTCGGCATCAACGCCGTAATATCCACTGATCGACCGCACCGGCGTTATTACTGCATTTGTCTGTGAATTTTTTATAAGCCTGCCCACACTTTTTCCCACCGCTTAACGATCAATCCCGCGTACCTATAACATATTAAACATTACCTACTGACCCGTCGCCGGTGCGGCTAGACGACCGTAGATACTGACTGTGACAAATCATGATTATTTTATTATGGCACAAAAACATACGCACAATATGTTATCACGATATTGCAAACAGACTACTTTGCAACAAACACTTACACGTATTTTCCAACAAATTATTATTTTTTCTATCTGCTTGTCATAAATCCGTTTATTTTCCCACATTTGTACTACGCACGACTACGAGTTTTTCTTCTTTCTTTGCGACACGCGGAGTGATCCTTTATATTCTCTTGACACTCAGGATAAATATATCGGACTGGAGTAGTTTTATAAGTTTTCAGTTCCAACAGTAGTAATTTAACTGCGGGAATTAATTTATGCTTATAGTAATTGACCTTGACGTCTCAAAGCCAAGGCCGTACGACTCGATAGACCCGATCACGAATTGAACCACATAAAAAAGGTCACAAAAAACGAATTTTAATTGTATGCCGTTTAATGTTTGTAACTTTTTTCGGTCGAACTTTATATTTGGTTATCGGACAACATTTGTACACGTATGCATTAAACTAACTAAATTATGATTGTACTGACAATGTACATACGGTAATTTATACACAACACAGTAGCTCATTGTGTGGAATTGAAAACATTTTAACAATTAAAATAGAAAAATAATTATGTAGACCAACCGAAGTGAATATTTATAGCTCATATTTTTTTTAATTGTTTAGTGTCTTAGACTATAGTAAAACCAATTGTACAAAGCATTTAGCGTCAAATGAGAAGTTAAACATAAAAGTAAAACAAGACAATAAAAAAACAATTATTGTTTTAAAAATGTCGTTAATTCAAACACTGCCAACCGCCTCTTTTATGGTTTACAAACATTGTGAAACTATTACATTATGTTGCGGCTGATGAAATGTACCTATTTGGTGTTTTAAGTAGCGCTCTGATTTTATTATGCTCATCACCCACGTATTTGATTACAGCTGAAGGTCGAACAAGCGCCTGAAAATCGTCTAGGGTTATTTAATTACTTTTTGGGGCATTCGTTCACCGATTTTGGCGCACACGACATAGTGGTAATCATTTCAAAGTGTCCTCGAGTGTCGACTTAACCCTTCGGTCGACGGCGGTTACGTACCTGGCCGGTTGTCGCGGTCGGAAAGGTTATTGGACGGGGTTCATTAATCGATAGAAAACAAAAGGCGGAAGTCAAGTTATACAAACGTGACGGACGCACGGGATCCGAATCCGTAACACCTGCACCGCAATAGCCCGTGCTAGGTCATGACATATCCATAAGTTTCGGTAACAGTATACCCGGTAAAAGTCACTGCGGGTCAAATATAGACTCGATGCATTACTCTGCTGGTCACCGTGCACGCATTCAGTGTTCGTATTAATAACAGTTTTCAATTCGGTATTCATGTTATACCTTCGTGTATGATTTTAATGCACCGGATTTCCTCAATAAATTGTAAGTGCAACGCGACCACAAAAATAAAAACTACTCCATAAGAAAATTTATTTGTGGATACCTAAGCACATGGCATGCATTCGACCTTCGTATGAATGAAAACTTGACAAGGCGTCCAGTAGTTCTTATCAGCCCCGGGGCTCCGTTAATAACGCGACAGAATTTTTAAATAAAATTCCCTAACCTGACTCACGATTTTAAGTTGGTACAATTAATTAACAAAAAACCTACCTCTGTTTAATAGTTCAGTGTCGCGCAATTAGAAACTACACGCCTACTATGGGTTATCCTTGACGCGAGGTGTCTTTCATTGTTCGACAATAAAAAGCGATCACCTGTCGGTAAGGTCGCACATGTATAATAGTAATATAATTAAAACGCGACAGGATTAAAGGCGAGCGAACACCGATGATTTATATTTGTTTTCGCATACTCAGTGTTGTGTTACTGAGTAATCATATACTTGAACGCGAAACACGACAATTATATTTATTCTGTGCATAATTACCTTAAGACCGAGATAGTAAAACAATGTGTTATCGGGGCAAAAGAATTTACATTTGACTTAGGTTGATAACACCCAGCAATGTTGTTTTCCTGCGAGATTAACAAACAATTGCGCATTTATATAGAACATGCTTTGTTAATCCGTCAACGATCTCCGTGTACGAACTTTCGCCAGTAATGAACTCTTTGAAATTGATCGCCTCTAAAAATTGTTGATGGCTGCGAGATAGATTGGTCCGAGTGTGTAATCACGTGAATTCAACGTCGCCGCCGCTTGTTAACGCCCTCGAGATATTTTTATGGTAACACAACGGATCCATATTGTAGTCATAATTACACTTGCAGCTGGTAGCAGTATTACGATTTCTGTATTGTGTACACTGCAATTGCGGAAAGAGAAAATAGTTGCCTTAGAATACGCGCGTGCACACTTAACCCCCCAAAGCGGCGTAAGTGGACCGAAATCGATTCGCGATAGCCGACGGTTTACACGAGTTTTCCCGTTCTTATGTTATTTTTGGGTAATAAGCCAGCGTTGTTCTCGAGCACGAATAAATTTTCCTCGCAGTTTTTTGATGGACAAACAGACCTTTTTTAGGTTAAAATCGATCTGTTCAAAACAGGAAAATATGACAATCGTCGTGGTGGTCAGTAGGTTAATGCGATGCTCTGGTAGTTATGTTTATAAGACGTACTATGGTTATGATGATTATGTTTTATAAAACGTGAATCTGTATTTTTCATTATAAAATAGACACGCTATATTACGACGGTACAAACAGCACCGGAACGGGTTATTATGTTGGTTTATCGAAACGTACCGAATTTTGTACTAAAGACGATCCGTGTAAATATTGTCATTATTATCCAATTCTTTTAAATTATACCATTATTACCCTAGTCTTGAAAATCTCTGGCCACTAGAGGTAATCTTACTGTTTTATGTGACCTATTCTTATTCCTAGTAAAATACACGTTCGAAAAAATTGGCTGTGTAAAACCTATACAAATCAAAGATTCCATCTTTCGGTATGCCTATTTTCATAGCTGTGTTATATTTTTTTAATGATAAGACGCTACGTTGAATTTTTCTATCAAAAATTGTTTGCCTAAACACAATTATTTTATTGATATTCCTGAGATTTTTCAAATTTATAGAAAATTATAGTAGTATTTTTCCGTTTCCATAAATTGAAATAAAAAATAAAACTTTTATGTTTATATAACACAAATAAGTATAAAAAATGATTATATAAAAAAATCATGATGAATTGTGTGCATTCTCACAGAACAATGTCGAAACAATAACTACACCAATTATTTTTGAAATACAATCAAAACAAATAAAAATCCAAGTAAGATAGTTTTGCTCATCAATTTTTAAAAACAAAGACCGGAAAACGTAATTGAAAAAAATTAAGAAATGATAGCGTTCAACTGAAAATTGGTTGGAATAAATATAGTGTATAACCTTTGATGATATTATACATACTACATTATTTTCTTCGAAATATTTTAAATTCAATTTTGAGATAAATATGAAAATAAATGAATAAATATGATAATTATAAATACAAAATAATTAGTTGTATCCATGTTGATATAAAGTGATCTTTGTATAAAGTATTTTGTATTCCTTTAACACTTGACACTCGTTTTATGTTAAAATAATAAATATATTAAGAAAATTATTATTAGTATTTAGTAGTATTATATATTTCTTAATTTATTGGTTATCAATTATTTTTTTTAATTCATCCCTCATAAGAATGTCTAATATAGTTAATATAATAAAAAATTATCTTATTAAGAAAATTATTGGCAATAGCAATTTTCGACCCATTAATTTGTAAGTTGTTAAAATTTGTATACTTAGGCGGGGGGAGAGGTGCGTCCAAGAAATGTTTCATTATAAATATTGACATATCTGCGTAACACTCCAAGACTATAATTTAAAATGGTTATAACACCGAAATAAAGTCAAAAATTGTTATGCTTATAAGAGACAAATTAGAACATACCAAAAATAATTTTTAACAATTATTATTTAAGAGAAATCAAGTGGCTATTATTAAAAATCGCCCTGTATTAAATTGTTTGCATATTGAGCTACTGCGTATGTTGATTATATTTTAAATGTTTAGGAAATTTAATGTAAAGTAATAAATGACACTATTTAAAACTTACTACCCAATGAAAATTAAGTTTTCGAATGTTAAATCAACAATGCCAATCATTCGAACCGTAACGCTGTCGAAAACATTGACTTTGTACTTATAATATTAAGTATTATTTTATTAAGATGGCAATTTCAATATAAAATGCACTTAAAAGTGGTTTACCATTGGCATGTATGATGTTGTGAATAACTCTTTAAATGAAGTCTAAGCGACAGCTTAATTAAAAACTTTGCGTACATCAAACACAGACGCTATAAACACAAAATTGCATTAGCCATTATAGTTGAGTACAAATTTAATGCGCTCTAACCAACGCAGATTGTAATTATGATGCTGATTTTGGGTAGGCTTACATTACCCATAAATATACTGTAAAATTCAGTATTACCAAAAGATAACAAAATTAGACAAATTTTATTAATTTTTAATTAAAATAAAGATTTGAGATAGAAAGTATGAATGATTATGTACAAGTCTACTATATACAGGTTGATCCAAATCTGGTAGAGCGCTTATTTTCTAAAAAACTATTGAGAATTTAAAATTTTTATAAAGATAAAAGTATGAAGTTCAAAAAACTCTGAGTTCCTATTAAGAAAATTAAATTTATCGTTTATTGACCATTTAGAGTTAAAAAAAATATTATTTATTTATCTACTATTGTAGTGCTTTTGGAACCTAAATTTTTTTTCTTTACAAACATTTAAAATTCCCAATAGTTTTTGAGAAAATTAATGTATAACTAGATTTGGATCATACTGCCATAGCTTAATACTAACACTTTTCTCCCTTAAAAATAGTACAACTACTTTATCTCTGGCTTTAAAAGCATTAAATTTTATACTTCTATAATGTTAGGTGTTTACACCTAATATAGTTCAAATAGAATATATATATTCTATTTAAAAACACATATATGTATTTTTGTAAAGAAAAGTTTCCTTTATTTTTATGTATATATTAATATATATAATACAATTTATTTATTAATTTTTGAATTGTTACGAACTCATCTCCATCAAAAAATATTATTTGTTACTTGACGAATTATATTGTCAGATCAATAATATAAGTAATGACTTATAATTATCAAATAAAATCTAAATAATCGATTTTTTTAGTAGTTTTATTATAAAAAATGATTATTTGTCTAT